TCTCCACCCCCCACCCTGCCTCCACCCCCACCTGTGTCTGGCCCAACTCGCCCAGGTCTGGTGGCTGGAGGTGGTCCATTGGCCCTGGAATCAGATCCTCCATCCTGAGGGAGGAAAGGGAGGCAAAGTCATGGGGGGCAAAGTCATGGGGGGCCCTAGTTGAGGACCAATTTGGACCTGGCCCTGAGCCCAGAGCTGAGGGGTCCGTGGAGGGCAGTGGGCTGGCCAGCCTGGGGGACACTCTGCCCACAGGTGAGGAGAGCGCCATGTCCACCATTGCCCTCCTGCTCCTAACAGGCCGGGATGTGACCCCAACCAGAGTCCAGGCTGCCAGGGGAGGGCCATGAGGGGAGGTGGGGGTCAGAGGTCACCCAGCAGACTCCATGGGGTGGGAGGGGACAAATAGGACCAGAGCCCGGGTTCAGATCAAAGGGAACTGTGAGGTCTGGGTTAGAGGCCAGCATCTGGGTGTCCCCAGGGTGGCACATGTCCCCTTCACAGCCATTGGCAGACACCCTCGAGCCCACGAGGGTGGGGGACAGGGACCCCTGTTTCAGTTCCTCCAGCCCCTTCCGGGCAAGAGCGAGTCCTGGGCTCGGCCCGGCTGTGCCGCTGACCAGCTGTGTGGCCTCACCATCTGCCCAGGAAATGGGGATAAGGTGCTTTCTGTACCAGGAACTTGTCGGTAGTCATGGCGACAGTCAGCACAGCCCTCTGACACACAGTAGGTGCTCTAGAAAGAGGAGTCTTGCACATGGATAGTAACTTTGACAATGTTTCACCTTTTAAATTCTGGGTGAACGGTGCTTCTTAATTTTTCTTATAATTAGGACACAAGTGAAAAGGTACAAGAGGGTGTCCTTGAGGAACGTCACCGCCCGTTCCACCTCGAGTGTCTGCGCTTTTCAGAGACACACGTAGGTATTTTTCCCACCGCGCGAGTCTTACTAATCTAGCAACACACTCTGTACCCTGTTTTCAAAATTACAGTTTTAATGTTTCATTATAACTTTATTTTTAAATGACACAGTGAAAGGTCTCTCCCTGCCCTGGCTGGGTGGCTCAGTTGGTTGGGGCACCGAAAGGTGTGGGTATAATTCCCCGTCAGGGCACATACCTAAGTTGCAGGTTCAATCCCCAGGTAAACAGGAGGCAACCAGTCAATGTTTCCCTCTCTCTCAAATCAATTTTAAAAAAACATATCCTCGGGTGAGGATTTTTTTAAAAAAAAGAATTTTAAGTGAAAAGAAAGAAAGAAAAATACCCACATACACCAGCCTCTCCCGGGAAAAGGGGCTTTCTAAAAGCCATTCATCTCTATAAGCTCCACTTCCTGCCTCCTTTTCTCTTCAATTAATGAAGCAAATATTTACTTATGATTCTGCCTCTTCCATGTGTCCTGGGTTCGCACCTGGAGACAAAGAGGAAGGAAGCTCAAGAGCAGTGTGGGGACCCCAGGGAAAGGCGGGGAGCCCCAGGGAAAGGCAGGGAGCCCCAGCTTCAGGTGGCCCCACAGCGTCCTTCCTCCCTCCCCTTTCACCTTCACACTCCCCTCCACCCTCAGAGGAAGGCATTGTTGACATCTGACACAGGAGGCTCAGAGCGCTTCAGACCCCGGCCCAAGGTCACGGATTGACAATGACAGCACCGAGGGGGCCCATCCCGGCCAATGACGTTGGACAAGTTCATCACCTGCCTGGGCCCGGGCTTCCTTATCGAGGGAGATGGGGTGTTAATAACATGCCCCTGCGCTCAGTGTGAGGGTTCAGAGAGGACCAGCGTCCACACTCAATCAGCATCGCTCCTATCTGGATGCCAAGGCCCCCTCCCAGGCCCTTCTCAGAATCTGGGCTGCTCCCCAGCCCCACCGACTAGCAGGGGGAGGACCAATGACTGTCCTGCGAATGACACAGCCAAGACTGAGCCCAGGACTCGCTCTGGCCAGGAAGGTGCTGGATGGACTGACACAGGGGTCCTTATTCCTCCTGCCGCCACCCTCCGGAGCCCAGGGAGGGCCGCCCGCTGATGCCAGAGGCCCAGCTGCTCGGGGAGATCAGGGAGGCTCTCCCGGGGGCAGGTCTGCAGATTCCAAAGAGCCACATAGGCCCCAGACTTGGGGTCCGAGGGCTGAGGGTGCAGGTTTGGGGCGGCCCCAGGCTCCTGGGGCTGGGCCTTGGGGCATCTCTGGAGCACCCCCAGCAGTGTCTGCCCCTGGCTGTGAAGGCGACATGTGCCGCCCTGGATCCCCAGATGCTGGGCTCTCTAACCCAGCAGTCCCCCACCGCAGAGTCCCCTTTGACTCTGAGCCTGGGCCCAGTTTCAGCTCCTCCCCACCCGTGGAGTCCGGGAGATGACCTCTGACCTCACCCTTCCTTGTGGCCCTCCCCTGGCAGCCTGGACTCTGGCTGGGGTCAAACCCTTCTTGCCTTTAGGGGCAGGATCTCCACCCGCCTGTTGCAGCCCCTAGAACCCATCTCCCCACCATGTCCTCAACTCCGGGTCTGAGGTTAGGCCCCCCATCGGGCGGTGACCTTCACCTCTCCCCACTCCGCTGTTCCTTTCCAGCACAACAGATGGAGCTTGGGGATGACCCCCCTGCCTCTGACCTCCAGGCCCAATCCAACCTGCAGAGGCCAGACTCCCCCAGATGCTCAGCCCGGGAATCAGGCCTCCTTCCTCTGCATGACAAAGGGTGAGGGCTGCCCTCCGCCCGCGGCTAGCCGTCCACAGTAAAAGTCCCAATCCACATTTGCTCTCTCTGGCTGATGGCCCGCTTATTTTATTTCCCCGGCAAACGCTTGCACCCCTGGGGAATCCACATTCAGGAACGGGGCTGTGTTTGCAGAGGGATCAGCGGTCTGGGGGATTTGCCCGGTGTCTGCCCCTGCGGATGCCCGCCCTACACCCATCTCCTGCAGGAAGGGGTCTCGCCAGCTCTCAGACCCCCGGCCAGCAGCCTGTGCAAACAGCCAGGGGTCTTGTTCCTCCTAAGAGACCCTGCCCAGTCTCAGGGCTTCGCCGGCCCTTCATTCCTGATGACTCCAGCCTGAGCCTCCACTGGGCACCGGACCTGCGCCCAACTGCCCTTCCACCCCCACCCGCTCCAGCTCAGTAAGTGGCTCCCCCCCACTCCCAGCCAGGCCTCCAAACCGCCAGGTCACTCTGTGTTGTTGTTTTTTTAATATATCTTTATTGATTTCAGAGAGGAATGGAGAGGGAGAGAGAGACAGAAACATCACTGATGAGAGAGAATCATGGATCAGCTGCCTCCTACACGCTCCACACTGGGGATGGAGCCCGAAACCTGAGCATGTGCCCTTGACCGGAATCAAACCCCGGACCTTCCAGTCCGCAGTCCAACGCTCTATCCACTGAGCCAACCCAGCGAGGGCTAGGGGTCACTTGGTTCCTATCCCACCAGGGGCCTGGCCTCCCTCATGGGGCTTGGGGACAGGGCAGGGCAGGCAGAGGCGGCCCGAAGGGAACCCTGGGGCGGGAGTCTGGAGGCCTGGATTGGACCTGGCTCAGTCGACAGCTCCTAACGAGGACACTTCTGGGCCCTGGGCCTGAGGGACAGAGGCCCTACGGTTCCAAAAATGAGGCTCCGTCCCCAGCCTTAAAAACAAACACAGTTATGACTCACAGATTCCGTGAGTCAGGAGCAGGCACAGCTTCGCTGGGTCCGCTGTGGGGCCTCACAGGCCACCGTCCAGGTGTCAGCCAGGGCTGGGGCAGGAGCCACGCCTGCGCTCCCGCGGGATGTTGGCAGAATCCGTGTCCTTGCGGTTGGTTGCAGGACAGCAAGGTCGAAGCGCCCTGGCTTCTGGCTGCCCTCAACCCTCGAGGCTGCCTGCAGGTCCTGGACACGGGGGTGTCCCCTTTGTGGCTGCTGCTCAAGGGTCCCCTCCCTTTTGGGGCAAGAAAGCTGCAAAAGGATCAAACTATTGGGGGGCCCCTGCTCTTCCTGGACCCCACAGCTCAGACCAGGCAGGTGCTGGTGCCATTGAGGCCAGGAAGGAACGAGGACTCGGGGAGCGGGTGTGGGAGTGTGAAGAGAGTGGACAGGACAGTCTGAGGAGCCAGGGGAGTCCAGGGGCCACCCCAGGAACCTGCTGGAGGTCACGCGGGGGGCGGGGGGCCCTTGTCAGCAGGAGGCAGCAGCAGGAGAGGGGCGATGGCAGGCCCAGGTGCGGAGGGACAGGGGCTGAGCCCAGGGCCAAGGGCAAACTGGGAAACGGTTAGTAGCTGAGGTTTGGGGGGGTGGGGGGAGGAGGAAGCCAGATGGGACAGAAAAGAACTGTCGGAGGA